AAGTATGACCTTATTTGTAAACATTTCTGCCAGAATGCGCTGATATTCACTTTTTTTTAGAATGCTAATTGCTTGGAGCCTACGTTCATTAAATTGATAATGGCTTTCACTTTAGGCTAGCAAATTTAAGCTAATTTAGCTTGTTACCGCCAGCCAGAATTATTAGTTGTCACAAAGGTCCTGCCTTTGTAATTACATCTACAAATGGTTAGACCTTCAAGTGGCTCGGATGAAAACTTAAGCGGTCCAGTCTCTCCGGACACTAGCCTCTTTATCGTTACCTGCTATTGCTTGAAATAAAAGAAGAGTGTGGCAAGATTTTTGTATAAGTGTATTAAGGGAGTGGGTGTGTTGTATGTATTTCACATTTTCGATAGATTCACTATCTGATTGTGAATGTTGAAGCAGCATGGATTGGAATTATTGCGATGTCCGCAAACATTTGACTGACTGGCATAATTAACTGTGTTATACATAGCTGTGTACTTCAGAAATTTCAAAATGATCTTAAGACAAGTTGAGACAAGTTGAATTGGTCTATTTGGTCTACATAAAAACATGTCTTCTTGAACAATCTTGATATTCAGGGATCCGACTCAAACGAATAGCACACAACGTAATTATCTTAATAGTCATGAGCATAATAACAGGTTTTTGCAATGTCAATATAGGAATGTCACAGGGAACCTAGGCTCTAATCACGAGAACGGTGAAAACAGAAAAAAAAGATTATGTCAGAACCATATGTACGTCGATAAGACGACTAACGACTTTTGCAAAGTTCAGAGAAAGACTAGTTGCGTAATGAAAGAGTGCTGCAAAGGATTGTGGGGCTCAGTGAGGCTAGGTGGCTGAGATTTTTTGATCTCGCAAAGTGTATTTTAGAGATGAAAAAAAAATCCTTTCTAGAAGGCCATTCGTATAGTAAATGTTTGGTTGGAAGTTGAATAAAATAGGTTCTGAAAGACAGTGTAATTCAACCCCCTGTGAAAGACTATCTAGTGTTAATTTTACTCGTACCATGCTATTTCTTAATTTCTATCAAATAGTCGAAGTATAAATTTTTTACTACAAGTTTTAAAATAAACGCTGAGGAAAAACTCACTCGCGATGGCGTTGCAGTGCATTGTGAGCCGGACTGTTTTAGGAGACTTTATATATATTTCCAAGATGGCGGCTATTTCTACCCTGGGTATTCATGAGCATCATTACGGGCTTTTCATTTGTAATTTTCATTCAATTTTTAGATAAAAATGTTGGAACATCACGAGAAAGCCAGGCTCTAATTAAGGCAAATATCAAAAATATATCCAAAAAAATCTCCAGAATTTTTGATCTGAGCAGAAGCATTGAAGCACAAATTCCGTGAAAATTTATTTTGTAATTGTATATATTCTTTTATTCAGTTTTAGCGATGGTGAAGGAACATCGCAAGAAACCCAGGCTCTAACTAAGTCCGAAAAAGAATCCGATTTTCGAATTTTTTAATACAAAATTTCGCAATCGTGCATCTGAAAAGCATTGAAGCACAAATTCTGAGAAAATATGCCTTTATTTGTAAACATTTCTGCAAGAATGTGCTGATATGCACTTTTTTTAGCAGTTGCATTTTCGTCGGTTCAAGCATCGGCGGGACCAACACTCAGGACCTTAAAATAACTGAGGAGAAGGTGCTGCCTTTGTAATTACATCTGTAATTACAAATGTAGACCTTCACGTGGCTCGGATGAAAACTTAATGGCGGTCCAGTCTCTCCGGCCACACTTATCCGTTACCTGCTATATTGCTTCAATTAAAAGAAGAGTGTGGCAAGATTTTTGTATTAATGGAGTGTGGGTGTGTTGTATTTCACATTTTCCACAGACTCACTATCTGATAGTGAATGTTGAAGCAGCATAATTGGAAATATTGCGATGTCCGCAAAAATTTGACTGACTGGCATAATTAGCTGTTTTATACATAGCTGTGCACTTCAGAAATTTCAAAATGATCTTAAGACAAGTTGAGACAAGTTGAATCGGTCTATTTGGTCTACATAAAAACATGTCTTCTTGAACAATATTGATATTCAGCGTTCGGCCCACTCAAACACTATTAGCACACAACGTACCAGCAGTTTTCCAGTATAAACATACACCTATTTCAAAAAACGTTGTCATCGCTAAAGGCGATAGGCAATAGACGTTAGGCGAAAATCGATAAGATATATGTTATTCCAAGATCAAGATCCAAGAATAGATGGAATGACTTGTGCGTGCTTCTTCTTATTCTCCGTCAAGAGTATGGAACTTCGTGCTGAGACAGATTCGATATCTTTGTATTCAACGAAACCATTTCCATGTCAGAATGACCTATCGCCTATCGCCTTTGGCGATGACAGCGTTTTTTGAATTACGTGTATAAAGAACTTTTAACAGCCGAGGATGATCTTAATATTCATGAGTATAATCATAGGTTTTTGCAATGTCAATATAGGAATATCACAAGGAACCCAAGCTCTAATCAGGTCAAGAAATTTCCAAAGTCTGAATTGGATTTTTGATCAAAACAAAATTTTAAGCGTCCTGAAAAGCATTGGAGCACAAAACTGAGAAAACATCCGAAAGAATGTGTTGATATGCACTTTATTTGTTATATGCTTATGACTGGTCAAGTTCCATTTTATTCATACGAAAACAGAAATAATCTATGAGATTAGTTTCAAATGAGTGAAATTTAAAGATATATACATCAAAAAGTTAAAGACATTTCTAGTTATGAGAAAAGCTAAATTAAGTGTGTGTGGCTGCTTAAGCAGTTTAAGAGTGACTGCCTGTAACCATCGAGCAAAACGTGGCAAACTTCGAAAAATCGATTTCGCTCATACTTTCAAGTTAGTTAGGGTAATGTATCCTAAGAATCGCTGTATAGTTGGTTTGATCAAATAACGCTTTATTGTGGAGAAAAATGGAATTTTTCAAACACTCCCGAAAACGCCGTTCGCGACAGTAAATTTTGACTCAACTTTCGCGGCTGCTTGACAAAAAATAAGCAACACTGGGAATTAAAACAACCCATATTCTTGAAGAACAATCTATTGAGTACGATAT